GCCTGGGGTTTACCTGTGTGCTAGGGAGCTGGTCCAATACAGCCCGGGGTTTACCTGTGTGCTAGGGAGCTGGTCCAATACAGCCCGGGGTTTACCTGTGGCGTATCCCCCTGCAGCCTGCCACAGGCAGCAATTTTACAGCTGGCTGCTATCAAAACAGGTGGTCATTCAACACTACAGCTGCCTGCCAGAGGACGACTATTTATTCCCAAATGATTGAAACTGACACTATGTCCCCATCAACAGAGCCAGCAAGACCTTTGAGCCCGTGGAAATATTACTGATCGCAATGTCTTCCCCCTCGTCCTCCTTTTCCTTTTATATAATTTGGCTTGTGAGCAATGGCCTGTTAAATGTTGCTGCTAAAAGCACTTTTGCGAATGGTTTAAGTGAAGCATTTTAAAAAATATTAACCACTTCCCTGCTGAATGACATACCATGGACAGTCCAGTGCGATTTGACACAGCTAGGAATTCTAGGTGGCCTGTCTTCCTTACTGGATGTTCTGTAGAAAATGAATGACAGAACACTAAAGGTTAACATCCTGGAAGGACTCATGCTACATTTGATAGCTCTGCTGGGGAAGAGCACACTAAAAACGTAGCTATGCTCTCAGGAGAGGTGTTTATCAACGCACACTCTCCAGGGACTCTCTCCTATGTGTTTTTTGTTCCCTTCAGTCTTCTCGATTAAAAAGGTATCTCCCCAAACAAAGTGCAAGTACAGTAGCAGAGCAGTGCTTCCCAACCGTATTCAAAGCCTGAAAGGCAAACACACGTTTTCCTAACAATTGCACGAACTATTGTTCCATTCGTAATGAGGCCTAGTATGAAAAAGATCTGTGTGAAAGATCCTGATGTCTTTAGAAAGGGATTTCACTAGCTCCCTAACAGTACTGCCGTTTCCAGAAGGGAAAGCCAGGCTGACAGCCCCATTCTCTTCCTCCACACTGCCCCAAAATCCTGCTCTCCAGGAAGCGCTGGAAATGAGCAAACATGATGTCTCCAGGGCTGGGAAATGAGTTCTCAATGGTTTCCTTGTCACGCTCCTGCTTTCTCCATCATGTTGGGGGAAACAGCCACTGCAGATCTGCAATGGAGGTGAGTGAGCACCAGCAGCCGCTGGATGTTACTCTAACCTGAATCGGCGGGTAGAAATCGACCTCTCGGGGATCAATTTATCGCGTCCCATTGGGACGCGACAATCGATCCCCAAATCGGCGCTGTTACTCCACCAGCGGAGGTGGGAGTAAGCGCCGCCGACAGAAAGCCGCAGAAGTCGATTTTGCCGCCGTCCTCACAGCGGGGTAAGTCGGCTGCGATACGTCGAATTCAGCTACGCTATTCACGTAGCTGAATTTGTGCATCTTAAATCGACTCCCCCCTGTAGTGTAGATGTACCCTTAGGCAGTCTGATGGGGCTGGTATAGGAACCCAGGCAGAGTACACTAGGCTTTGGTGGCAGTCTTTCCAGCTGAGTGGGACTAGATGTGGGTCACTCTGGGAGCAGCCAATGCCATTTCTTGAGTCAGGTGTCATTCAAGGTGCTCTACAGGACAGACTGGAACTTTGTGTCTAAATAATATGCTTTGCCCTTTCATAAGTCACATAGCATCTTGTCACTAGGAGGAATTATTACTTATTTGATTTCAGTTTAGAAGTAGGTATGAGGGATTCACAGGTCTTGAACCCAGGTCTGTGGCTCCCTAGACAAGCATCAGATCACAGACATCATCTGACACCTCCACTAGCAGGGAGTGAGGGCTGGTGGACCTTAGCTCACCATAGGCACTGTCTATGAAGATCTCAATTGGAGGTGATGTCTGGCCTCTCCAATTGGCTCAGACTCATTATTTAAGCTGGAAGGAGGCACAGGACTTTGTCTGAGCAACTAAGTGAATCCCTGGGTGGCTGCTACATTGGACCCTACCTTCTCGCCTGACTCCTGAGCCCTGCCTTAATCCCGATTCTTGCATTCCTGTCCTGTCTTGTCCTTTCCATCCTGCCTTGTTCCAGATTCCTGCTTCTGAGCCCCACCCCTGGCTACTGACACTGGCTCTGACCCTTGGCTTAACTCCTGCCTCTGGCTCTGTCACTGACCCCTGGTTCCTGACTCCTGCTCTGACCACTAGGCCTATCACTACTGCTCTGACCACTGGGTCTGACTGCCTATGACCTGGTCCATGACAGGAAGGTTGTTTGGTCCTGTGCAGTCTGTATCCTACAGCAAAAAGACTGGTGTAAACATTTAAACCATTAGCTGCTTTTAATGCTCTGGGAAGGTGACTTGGATAACGGATCACCATTTCACCCCACCCCTCCATGACCCTTGGGACTGATCCATGTGAGGGTAGAGAATATTGTCAGGATCACAGATATTCAGGAGAGACAATTACAGCTCAGGTGACATCATTAATATCCATTACTTATATAGCGCCATAATGTGCATGGAACTTCAGACACAAGTAAGACATGAACCCTGCTCCAAAGAGCTTAAAACCTAAGTGTCTGATTCACACTCACACCAGTGTAACTCTGATGGAAGTATTCCTCATTTACACCAGTGGTGAGTGTGTGACAGCAGAAGAAGTTAGAGGGAAGGATGGGAAAATGTTGAGAAGGGGTAAGATGGGATGGCAACGGTCAAAGAGAAGAGAAGGGAGAGGTGAATAGGTACAAGTGGAGAGCTGCAGGACAAATGTAGTTGGTTTGGTGGAACAAGGCAAACAGGGAGGTGGTTTTCTCTATCACCAGATAACCATTCTGAATGGATGATCTTCTTCACATGAAAATCACTCAAAATCCCAGGTCTCCTCCAGTCGTTCACCACCATTCTGTGTCCAAGGATTGAGAACAGTCTAGGAGAACAATGAGAGCTAGCTGGTCCCTTTCAACTTTCCCTGGTTTTGTTTCCCCCGGTTTCCTGGAGCAGAAGATTCATTTAGTGAGCGTTGGTGAAGGCCCAGTTGTCTACGTGGATCCTGCTCAGATAGATTTCGGCAATATCCAGGTTCTAAAGGATGCTTCCTGTACACTCCACCTCTCCAATCAGACCGTTATTCCTGCACCATTTTGGGCACAGATGGTAAGTGCATTGCGGGGCTATTTTATAATGAACATGTACTTGGAATGTATCGTCTCAACAGTCTGTGACTTGACTTTATATGTAGCATTCTCCTAAAATTATCTCAAAGAGAGAATGAAATGGGCATGACATAATTCCCCAAAGTGGCTGGCTGAGTCTGCTCTGAAGTGCACCTGAGTCACCCCATTAGTGTCAGTGGGATCTCATAGATGCAACTAAAAGCAGAATTTGGCACTTGATCTTCTTTATAACCTTTCTCTTGATAGGGAGTTTAGCTGTGCTAATCATGTTTATGTACCTATATGAGAGACATCTTATCTCTTTGTTCCTGAAAGGTAAGCACTTCCGCATAGATCCCCTCAACTGGGACGCACACATTGACTTCTGGCTTGTGCTTCAAAATTTGCTTGCAAAGCTTTTAGCTGTATGGGAAACAGCATGCGAGGGATCATCCACAAATTACTAATGGGGAGGTGAGCTGGATGTTTAGTGGTGTTACTCCCACTGGGAGTTTTGACAACTCAGTTGCTGCACAGAAGCTACTTTGTTTATAAAGGGAGCTGTGTAGTTAAGTTACATAAATGCTGAGAATGCACTGCAGTATCTTTGTATTTTGTGGCATTACAGAATATTTCTGGATCTTTGGGGAATGTTATAGGGAAAAGACAGTTCAATTTAGTGAGACTTTTTCAACCTGACAGGCTACACAGGTGTTCTAAAGTCTTAAGTCAGACCCCTCCAGAGTCTGTCAGGGTGGGGATCCTTAGCCAGGAAGGGGGTCATGCTCTATGTTTGGAGTTTGCACCCCTCTGTCCATTGGTCTCTCCCCAGTTGGTGGCAGGTTGCTTCACAGTGATGCCATCTCTGCCTTGTCTCTCCTATCTCCCTATGTCAGGCACAGTTTTTCCTTATTACTTTTTTGGTGAGATGTCCTTTATGATTCTTGATCATCTGAAGAAATATTTTTCTTGCACTTCCTCATATTTCAGTTTCCACAGTACCTAGAGTTGTCTATGGGGCTATCTCCACTGCAGCCATGGTGTGATTTGCAACTGGTGTAGATGTACCAGCACTAGCTGTACTCTAGCTAGCACGCTAAAAATAGCAGTGAGGACATAGCAGGGTGAGCTTCACTGTGGGCTGCACAAACCCACCTGACTGCCCTGGGTACATACTGACTTGTGCAGCCCACCCAGAAGCCCCTGCCATCATATCCTCACTTCTGTTTTTACCAGGCTAGCTAGAGTACAGCTAGCAAGGGTACGTCTACACGAGCTGCCAATCACACCTGCGGCTGCAATATAGATGTACCTGTGATGGGGTGCAGGGGCTTGACCTGGTTCTGAGTGAACAGGGGAGTAAATTCAGCTCAGCTACCTCCTGAGCAGGTGTTGAAGGGAAGGTTTGTAAGAGTGGCTGCGTGGGCTGCCGAAGGCGTGGAGGTCAAGGAGTCTTGTACCTGCTTGTGCCAGCCTGGGTTTGGCCTGAGGTGTTTCCTTGAGCTTAACCAGCATGGCATGCTCCCTGCTAGTGAAATGGATTGTGGAAATCCCTCTCTGTGTCCTTTATAGTTGGTGATCAGAACACTTTGTGATCCTCAGCTTTGATAACAGTGATGGCAGGAAGATTTGCACTGGAACATGTCCCTTATGGCTGGTGGACGGTGCACTGGGTCTGTATTGTAGGAAAAGGGAAGATGAAAGATCTCATTTTTGCCTAATGGGCTAAAATCTGCTCTCAGATGTACTTTACACATGCAACTGAGAGCAGGCTTTGCACCACACCATCAGTTTAGCTGGTAGATCACCCATCATTGATTCACCTGTTCTGGTGTGATGAAAATGGTAGATACAAGCATGAGAGACAGATATGGAAATTTGGAAAAAAATAGGCAGCAACCCATAGTAGGTGCCTTTCCTTTCAGGATGACTGTCTGAACTTCTGAAGAAACCCAGTGCTTCATTTATTGGCTTAGGGGGTGCCCGTAGCTGCCATTTGGTTTCACTGCTTAGGTATTTCTGCAGGACAGACCGTTGTGATAATCCTTCTCCCCTTTAGTAGCAAATCATGAAACCCTGGATCTTTGAAGTCAAGCCTATTGATTGCAGCTCACACTTGTGAATCAATGGTTATTGATTGAAGTTAATGGAGCACTGAAGGTTCATCCACCTTGCTGGGCTCAGATGGGCAGCTCTGCTGAGCGAAAAAGATTGGATTTAGCAGCAAACAACAGCAGAAGATAAAGGCAGGTGATAGCGTTCAAAATGTAAAGAGAAAAGGCCTCCATGGATATGTCCATCTTCACCCTACTTGCTTTGGTCTTAATTAGTGTTAATTAATGCGAGTTGCTGTTCCTGTCCAGTCAGCCAGCTTTCCAGTAGCTTGTTTGCTTTATGGGGAAGGAGGTCTGTAGCGGGGTGGTTACCCCGCTCCTGCCCTGAAGGGCTCAAAACAGCCCTGGGGGAAGGTTGTGGCTGGGAGCTGCGAAGCTGGGCTGATTGGGAAGCAGCTGCAGCTAGGCCACACCCCAATCAGGCCTCCGCTGGCCCTATATAAAAAAGCTGTGAGCCAGGGGCCAACAGTCTCTCTCTGCCTCAGAGAGAGAAAGGCCTGGGTGCAGGAGCTAGAGACAGAGTACCTGAGTGGAGCAGGGCTGGGGAAAGGCAGCGGAGCTGGGGAGCTCCAGCCTGGAAAGCCCCAGGCTGCGGCCTAGCATTGGCCTAAAAGGTACTGGGGGTTGCAGAGAGCAGCCCAGGGGTAGGCCAAGGCAGCAAATCCAAACCCAACTTTGCCAGTGATGAGTGGCCTATACTGCAGTCTGCCCCAGGGCGTGGGGGCTGGCTGGTGACTGGCAGTGGCCTTATTCTGAGGTGAGGTAGGGATAGTGGGTGGGGGTTCCCCAGGAAGGGGAGACCCTAGTACTGAGGGGTGTACTGCCAGGGGGCAATTCCCCAGATAAAAGGGCACCTGGGTCCAGGGAGGGCCAGAGGGGCCAGAGGACAGGTGGATCACTGGCCTGCAGAGGGTGCTCTGGAGCTGGAATGAGCTAATGCCTGGAGATGACCAGCAGGAGGCACCGCAGGGGTGAGTCTGCTCCTCTACAAGGTCTTCATGAAAACACACTGAAAAGTCTGATGATTGGAGATAATGTGGGTGTAGAATACACAACTACCCAAAACTATCCATAATGTACAAATCTACACAGTCCTGCTTAGAGCCTCTAAATTTCACCAGACCTGTCATGGGGTGAATTGCTTTCAGCAACACTGACCTGTTTGCTGCAGAGTGTACTGCCCTGTTCCATCAAGATGAAAGGTGTGGTTGAAATCTCACTCTGCTGGGTCACTATGGGTGGGCAAGGACTCATCGATTCACTCAGCCAAGCATTTCTCCCCACAAACATTGTCACCAACGTTAAAACTTATATGGACTGATGTCCCCAATGGAATTGCTCAGAGGTCCCGTGGATGCCTCCAAACAGCCTACGTGATGTCCTGTTTCCAGCTTTGAGGTTAGCCATAGACAGAGTTCAGGCTACAAGGGCCTCAAAAGTTGTGCATTCAGAGCGGGTGGTTGGAGGTAACAGTTTGTGTACTGTTGTCATGCATATGTACAAATTTGGGTCTTCAGGCACAAATTTAGAGGCCAGGTTCAGATCCCTTGAATATTGTGCCCTAAATGTTGGTAGCAACTCAACTAAAATAAATAACTAGGTGACTAATGATCAGGATTCCCTTTCTAGAGAAGCCCTTACTCTACTCCAGCATGGACACTCAGATCTGCCTGGTGTGCATAGGATGCTGAGTCACTTCCATCTGCAGATCAGTAAAGGTGCAAAGCCTGTTTGTACCAAAACCACCAATCTAAAAGCAAAAAGTGTAAGTTGGCGTGTGAACGTATACATATTGCATCTGTTCGTGATGTAGGATCTGCTCTGCATGCACCATCAGGTGCACATCACCCCAGGCAGGGTAAGGAGGAGGGGGAGCTGTGGCCTGGCAGCCAGGAGGCAGCAGGCTGCCTGGGTGTGGGAAGCTCAAGACTCCCACTGTGGCAAGCCAGCTCCGCACCACCTGACCGCGTTTGCGTGCGGTTACGAGAGGAGACTTCCTACGCTGCTGCTGTAATTGCAAGCGCTGCCCTTCCTTGTAAACGCTTCACATGCTCCTTCCTCCAGCCATCGCCCTCCGAAGAGCCAGGAGTTCGAGTCCCTCTGCGGGGAATCCTGTATGCTGTGGTCAGTCTCCTGCTGACGATTGTCCTGGGACCCAGCAGGAGGCTGTGTTCTGTACCACTGCTCTGGTAGGGCTCAGTTCAGCTCAGTCAGCAGGAATGACTCGGCAGAAAGAACATTCTCCCCAGCAGAAGATATTACCTCACCCACCTTGTCTCTCGAATTTCCTGCGACCGACACGGCCATACCAACGCTGCCTACTGTGTGCTGACAGTGAACCCTTCGGTACTGCGCCGCCTTAAGTATTGCCACAGGAGATGAATCAAACAAGGAAACCTGGATAAAACGGCACCAGATCAATGAGAGGGATTTCATGCGTCAGGGAGGGGGGGGAACTCTTTTGGGTGAAACAAAAGTAAACTTGGGCTCTGTTTTCCTCCTTCAAGTGAAGTTCAGAGGCATGGGCACAGGGTGTGCTGGGTGTGCCCAGGCACACCCTAATGCAGGGGTGGGCAAATGGCTCCACTCTCCAGGCACGGCAAGCCGCAGGGTCTGCGCTCCCAGGCCGGAGCACCCGGCCGAGCACAGCAAGTCGTCGGCCTCTCCCCCGCCTTCCCCCCTCCCCTGGAGCCATGCTGCCGCGCGTAGCATTCTGAGGGGCAGGGCTGCCTGCTCCCACAAGGCAGCGTGTCTGGCTCCGTGCAGAGCAGAACATGCTGCTAGGAGCCTCATGGTAAGGGGGCTGGGGCCAGGGGGGTTGGATAAGGGGTGGGGGCAGTCAGGGGACAGGGAGCAGGGTGGGTTGGACAGGGGGTGGAATCCCAGG